GACTATTTATCTTTTTTCTCAGAATTGTGAGTTTATATCTCGCAGTTCTGACTTTATTTCTCAGAATTACGATGTTATGTCTCGCAATTGCGAGTTTATATCTCCCAATTATGACTTTTTAACTCTCAATTGCGAGTTTGTATCACGCAATTCTAAGGGAAAAAAGTCAGAATTGCGAGTTTGTATCACGGAATTATGAGAAAAAAGTCAGAATTGTGAGATAAAAAGTCGCAATTACCTTTTTTATTTTTTAATCAGTGGCGGAAACGGGTTTCCATAATTCCACAGGAACAACACTGGGGTGTATTCCAGAAAGCAGGGTTAACTTACCGTCAGCTAAACCCTGAACTTTCGGTTGATTAACCCCAAACCTTGCTTACTCGAGGTATGTGTGGTTCCAAAAATGCATCCTGGAGTAAGTTCATTCAACTCCAAGTATGTTCCTGGTTAAGACTCAAAACATTCTCAACCGAGCTACGAATCGACGAAACGGACGCTAAGAAAAAGCGCGCCATGCTGTTTCTTTCTTCTTCTTTTGTTCAATGGTCGTTTACATGCTTAGTGCATATCGCCACCTAATTGATGGTTGTGCAATCATTTTTATATTTTATTTCGTTTAATCCTTAATCCTTGAGAATATGAATTATACTGTTTGTTTGATGCAAATGATATATTAAGTCATATCAGATATGTATTTTGATTTAGAATTGAGACATTATAGAAAATGCCGATCCATGTGTGAGATGATACTATAAAATGTAATAAATAAATATATATAATATAATAAATTAAACATTACCTTGTCGTAGTGTTTTATAATTTATACAGATAACTGTTATATATGCCAATAAAATAAATAATAACCATATTAGAATAATATATTACCTTATTTATTACTTATATTAGCGCTTCATCATTAACATATTATATATAATATATATATATACCCTGAAAGTAACCTCCGATTTTGAAACCGAAAGCTGAGGTTATCCGCTCACTTATCCTCAAACATACCCAGGTATGTCACTGCTTTTTGGAATACCCCCCAAATTATTAAGCAGTACTGCCCTCTGCTGACAGCAGGAGAGCAGACATACTGTACATTGTGCTTAAATAGGATTTTGTTGCATGCATATTTCTATTAGATCAATAGCCCACATGACACATTACAGTAGTAAAATATCAGAGTTTTGTCTAATATTTGTATCTCAGTTGTGGTGTAGGGGTGACAAAACACTGTTGTTTCCCACCGAACTCCTAAAGGATCTGTTGATCTATTATGTAAAAATACATGAAATTAATTAACTGAATGCATTACTTTTATGATAAGTCCTAATTTTATAATGAAGAAGGGGGAAAGCCTCATTAAAGAGAAGAAATTCTTATTGAGTGGTTTGGCGTAATCTTCATTATTATTTTCTTATGAAAAAAACTATTGAGAGGGTTCTGTTTAAATCTAATAATCATTTGATATCTTTCACCTAAAATCAAAGTTATGCAGTACAGACAAGCATGTATAAACATGCAGACAGGGGGGAAATGACTGTGTTGAGGTAAATATGACCATATCACCGTGGGTGCATTGATGGTTCATGTGGTTCCTCCAAGCCAAATTTCTAGATGTTCTGAAGTGAAGCCAAAGTCAGCCGCTTCATCACTGTTTGGCCCAGTCACACATCTCATCCGAACGGACATTGAATCTGAAGAGGATTGGTATGTGGACAAAGAATGCTGACTGCATGAGGTTGTTTGGCGTATGGGGGTCACATGACTTGGTTCAAATTTTCTGTGCTCGTTTTGTCAGTTTGACCTAAAACCAACATGTTCGGCCATGGGGCTGGACATCCAGAAAATGTAGAAATAAATCAAGAGCGTTCAAGAGACGAGCATTCCCCCTATGGGGCGTTGGGGGGTGTAGGAATCACAGTCTATAGAAGGGAGACCCCCTTGATAAAAATCTTTCCGTTGTGGAGGGGGATTATAAATCACATCAAGTGGAGTGGATCCCCCTCAGTAGAATTCGCATTCCAGGGCCGGGGCCCTTAGGGAAGATCCTTATAGGCCCTATTGGCCTCTGGGGCCCCTGCTCTGCTAAAACATGTAAACATGACAGTGTACTCATTCGTGGGTATTATTTCATACTTATTTCATACTGATCTTCAGTGTTGGGGAAAGTTACTTTTAAAAGTAATGCATTACTTCATAAAAAAGTAACTAATTACGTTACTTAGTTACTTTTTATGGAAAGTAATGCATTGCGCTACTTTTTAAATCTGCGTGTATATAGGGCTTGCTTGTTTGTTTTTAAAATAAAAAAGTTCTATTTCTGGCAAATATAAAAGCCTTTTCACACCAAAAGTGAAATGAATAAGCCTCAGGCTGAAGGAAATGTAAAGTTACGTCCGTACAGTAGAGTGCAGTTAGAAAAACACTTCAGCAATAAACAAAGACACAAATGTTGTCTAGAGTAATTTGTGCTTATCAGTACGCTTGAACTGGATCATCGAAGGTCAGAAGCAAAGACATTGGTTAATAGAACGGGATTAAATACATAAAGCATATTTGTGTTGTTTAACATTTAATTATTGCAGGTTTGCGTCATATTCTGAGTTGCATTATTTTTATTCATTTTGAGGAATACTGAATCTGTGTGGTTTTGTTTTTTTGTGAGTGAGATGAATTAATGCATATTCATATTTATTTTAGAACTACAGTAACATCTTCTGATTTCTCTCAACACTGTGAGTATAACTTACTTATTTGAAAAAGTAACTCAGATATTCTCTTGTAAATTAAAAAGTAATGCGTTACTTTACTAGTTACTTGAAAAAAGTAATCTGATTACGTAACTCGCGTTACTTGTAATGTGTTACCCCCAGCACTGCTGATCTTCTATGCAATTAAAATGACACCATGCAGAGACTAAAAATTAATGTATGTCTTTTGCTTAACATCCCATTTGGTTTAGAAATAAATTTGCTGTTGTATATAGGAATCGCAGAAATGTTCAACGTTACTGAGAGTTGAACTGCCACAACGCAGTAATTCCCCCATATCTGAACTACACCACGTGGGTGAAAGTACAGCCCGATATGGGTACATTTTATAAAAAAATATGATCAGCTAAACCCTTTGATTTTCTCCAAAAAAGCACACACTTTGTGCTCAAAAAGAGGCTAAAGTTCAAATAAAATACCATTTCCAAAAAATCACAAATAAAAAATATATTTTCAATTTTTGAAACACACACGCACACACACACACACACACACACACACAGATAGACACACAGACACACACACACACACACACACACAGACACACAAGGGTGACCTCTGGTGGTGAATAAACGGAAGTCCATGGACCGAATTCGTGACACTATATAGGTGCAATGCAGCATAAAAGGCAGACTTATTTGATCCTATATACATGTGCATATTTACCGTTTGAAATGTCTGTTTACAGGTTGGAACAAATATCATTCAGTATTTGGAGGAGGATCAGCAAAGGCGATTCCCTCATGTCCTGCAGTTTTGGGATAAAATCAAGCCTTTGTTATTGTGGGAGACCGTCTTTTATAAGCAGTTGATAGATGCTTTATATTATTGTACAGTACAGTATCCCATGCCCATGTCTCTACACAGCACACAATCCTCTATATTCTGTTGCATCAACACATTTTCACCTATTTAGACAGTTTATAATCGCATTGTCTGTACTAGCTTTTTTCTGTTTGTTTGTTTATTTGTAATTTTTTGTCAATTAAAATAGTAGTAAAAAATAACACAAATGCACCATAACTTAATTTAATAGTAGTGTTTGCAACTTTAAATGTAATATAAATAAAACATTTTCAATATATTTGTAAGCTGCATGTTGTTATGTAGCAGCAGCAATAATAATGATAACAACAACAATACACCCAATAACCCAACAAATTAGTTGTTCTATAACCCAATATATTGGGTAAAACTTACTACCCAATGCATTGGGTTAAAATAACCCTACAAGAGGTTGGTGCTATATAGATAATGGTATGATCTCTTACATATGTTACTGCTCAAATGGCAGTTTTACTGCGTAATGAGGTTCGGCTGATTTGATTTGGTGTGTATGTCCTCCAAGCCTGCGGGCGGCGCTAATGCGGCTCCAGTGGGTTTATTGACGCACAAGCGCCGCTGAGAAGAGGCAAAAGAAGACGCGCCGGAAGAAGTGGTCGCGTCCATGTCGTGAATGTGAAGAAGATTGTGATTTTATCCAACTGCGGAACTCATCGAGATCATAAGCGAATCATATACCATCCCGGTAAGATGACCGAGTAGTTACATATATATTTATCAAATGTGGGATGAGTAATGAACCTGATCTTTCATTAGCGGGTTTGAAAGCGCTTTACTCTCACTGTCAAAATGAATGCAGGGATAACAGATCAAACTGCTCTTTTCGCATAAACATCAGATTTGCTGGATAAGCAGCTACGGTAGTCACATTATATTATACACGCTCTGAGACATCGGATAGGTTTGGTATGTCTGTGGGGTCTGTAGCTGATGACACTTGAGCTTACGAAACCAATGAGTCACAAATAGACTTTAAATAGAACTTGAAATATTGTACCGCGCGTGAGATCAACGGCCTCGAATATGATCTTATTTATTGCGACGATAACCGTGATACAGTTACCAGCAGTGCTGGGGGTAACGCATTACAAGTAACGCGAGTTACGCAATCAGATTACTTGTCTCAAGTAACGTAAAGTAACGCATTACTTTTCAATTTACAAGAGAATATCTGAGTTACTTTTTCAAATAAGTAACGCAAGTTACTTTTTCTTTTCCAATGTATTGACTGGCAGCGCTCCTGTCCCCATGTCGAGAGAAATCAGAAGATGTAGTCCTAAAATAAATATGAATATGCATTAATTCATCTCACTCACAAAAACAACAACAACACACAGATTCAGTATTCCTCAAAATGAATAAAAATAATGCAACTCAGAATATGACGCAAACCTGCAATAATTAAATGTTAAACAACACAAATATGCTTTATGTATTTAATCCCGTTCTATTAACCAATGTCTTTGCTTCTGAGCTTCGATGATCCAGTTCAAGCGTACTAATAAGCACAAATTACTCTAGACCAACATTTGTGTCTTTGTTTATTGCTGAAGTGTTTTTCTAACTGCGCTCTACTGTACGGACGTAAATTTACATTTCCTTCAGCCTGAGGCTTATTCATTTCACTTTTGCTGTGAAAAGGCTTTTATATTTGCCAGAAATAGAACTTTTTTATTTTAAAAACAAACAAGCAAGCCCTATATACACGCAGATTTAAAAAGTAACGCAAAAGTAACATAACGCATTACTTTCCATAAAAAGTAACTAAGTAACGTGATTAGTTACTTTTTTTATGGAGTAACGCAATATTGTAATGCATTACTTTTAAAAGTAACTTTCCCCAACACTGCTGGTCAGATGGTAATGCGTTGTTTGGCGGATTTCATGAGAATTTAATTGTTTTCAAGAAACACATTTTGTACTAATTCTTACGAAAAAAAGGTGTGCTATTTGTTTTAATTATTTTATTTTTTTTATTATTACTATATGAAATTAATACTGTTCTGAGTCTGACAATACTTTAAAGTAAAAAATATTGAATCCAATAATATTATAATGCTCTACTAAATCTTTAAGAGTCTAACGTTAATCAGAGTCGTAATTGAGAACAATGTGAATTGAAACAATTACTTTCATGTTCAGAAGCTTTACTCTAATGACAATTTGGTTGTGAAATGTTCTTATTTGTCAAAAAATAATGTTACAATGAGAAAAAAAAAAGATTTTTGCAAATGCTAAATGTGTACTAGATAATGTTTTCATGCGATTTTTTTTTTTACCTTTCTCGGCCTTATACCATGGTATGGTATTTTCCATAGTCTACTTCACATATTATTATCTGAAATGTTCACTGATAACAATGTCAAAAAGTAATGGTAATACACGGTACTTTTGTGATTTGTGAGTTGCATTGGTTAATTAATAGCTTTTTAAAGTAATTACTTGCAGTCACGTTTGTTTATGTAGTGCTTTATACAATGCAGATTTTTAAAGCACCTTCACAGTAATAAACGGTAAAATACCTGTATTAATGTTTTAAACTTCAATCTCAGCTTTAAAGGGGTCATATGATGCTGCTAAAAAGAACATTATTTGGTGTAATGAAATGTGTTTATGCGGTTTAAGGTTAAAAACACATTATTTTCCACATACTGTACATTATTGTTTCTCCTCTATGCCCCGCCTTTCTGAAACACTGTGCTGTGATTGGCCAGCTATCCAGTGCGTTGTGATTGGCTGAATACCTCAAGCTTGTGACAGAAATGCTACGTCCCTCACATACTGTGATGCTTGCGGCAACCACATGTGACGACCCCGGGCTGGACTCTGCTTCGTCCACGGTGAAAGCCGATCCGGCGATCCACAGATACCCACTGTATATATGTGGGTGTGTGTGTGCATATTTACCATAATATATACCATAATTTATATATATATATATATATTTTTTTTTTTCTTTGCCAGGTGCTTTTTTTTTTACTCATTTTATTTAGTTTAGCAATAGTTAGGATTAGTCCAAACAAGATGTAACGCAAAAAAATAAATATTTAATAATAAAAATAATTTTAAAATAGCATGCGATATTATTATTATTATTATTATCATTATCATCATCATCATCATCATAAAAGTTATGGAAAGGTACTTCTAAGGTTGCCTGTTGAAATGTGCACATGGTGAGTTTCCCTTGAATTTACCTTCAAATGTATTTGTTTACATAGGTAATTCACATGTGTTATTACTAGTGTTACATTGTTAATGTTTGTGTGACAAATTATTATATAAAAAAAAAAAGATTTAATTATATAATGTTTAGATTTGAGTCTTAGTATTGTGTGTTTGAGATGCTATTCATGGCAATATGGGAAATTCATATTCATAATATGTTACTGGTGTTCAGTGTTGGGGGTAATATATTACAAGTTACGCAAGTTACGTAATCAGATTACTTTTTTCAAGTAACTAGTAAAGTAACGCATTACTTTTTAATTTACAAGAGAATATCTGAGGTTTTTTTTCAAATAAGTAACGCAAGTTAATTTTTTTTTCCAATTTATTGATTGGCAGCTCTTCTGTCCCCATGTTGAGAGAAATCAGAAGAAGTTACTGTAGTCCTAAAATAAATATGAATATGCATTAATGCATCTCACTGACAAAAAAAACAACAAAACCACACAGATTCAGTATTCCTCAAAATGAATAAAATAATGCAACTCAGAATATGACGCAAACCTGCAATAATTAAATGTTAAACAACACAAATATGCTTTATGTATTTAATCCCGTTCTATTAACCAATGTCTTTGCTTCTGAGCTTCGATGATCCAGTTCAAGCGTACTAATAAGCACAAATTACTCTAGACCAACATTTGTGTCTTTGTTTATTGCTGAAGTGTTTTTCTAACTGCGCTCTACTGTACGGACGTAAATTTACATTTCCTTCAGCCTGAGGCTTATTCATTTCACTTTTGCTGTGAAAAGGCTTTTATATTTGCCAGAAATAGAACTTTTTTATTTTAAAAACAAACAAGCAAGCCCTATATACACGCAGATTTAAAAAGTAACGCAAAAGTAACATAACGCATTACTTTCCATAAAAAGTAACTAAGTAACGTGATTAGTTACTTTTTTTATGGAGTAACGCAATATTGTAATGCATTACTTTTAAAAGTAACTTTCCCCAACACTGCTGGTCAGATGGTAATGCGTTGTTTGGCGGATTTCATGAGAATTTAATTGTTTTCAAGAAACACATTTTGTACTAATTCTTACGAAAAAAAGGTGTGCTATTTGTTTTAATTATTTTATTTTTTTTATTATTACTATATGAAATTAATACTGTTCTGAGTCTGACAATACTTTAAAGTAAAAAATATTGAATCCAATAATATTATAATGCTCTACTAAATCTTTAAGAGTCTAACGTTAATCAGAGTCGTAATTGAGAACAATGTGAATTGAAACAATTACTTTCATGTTCAGAAGCTTTACTCTAATGACAATTTGGTTGTGAAATGTTCTTATTTGTCAAAAAATAATGTTACAATGAGAAAAAAAAAAGATTTTTGCAAATGCTAAATGTGTACTAGATAATGTTTTCATGCGATTTTTTTTTTTACCTTTCTCGGCCTTATACCATGGTATGGTATTTTCCATAGTCTACTTCACATATTATTATCTGAAATGTTCACTGATAACAATGTCAAAAAGTAATGGTAATACACGGTACTTTTGTGATTTGTGAGTTGCATTGGTTAATTAATAGCTTTTTAAAGTAATTACTTGCAGTCACGTTTGTTTATGTAGTGCTTTATACAATGCAGATTTTTAAAGCACCTTCACAGTAATAAACGGTAAAATACCTGTATTAATGTTTTAAACTTCAATCTCAGCTTTAAAGGGGTCATATGATGCTGCTAAAAAGAACATTATTTGGTGTAATGAAATGTGTTTATGCGGTTTAAGGTTAAAAACACATTATTTTCCACATACTGTACATTATTGTTTCTCCTCTATGCCCCGCCTTTCTGAAACACTGTGCTGTGATTGGCCAGCTATCCAGTGCGTTGTGATTGGCTGAATACCTCAAGCTTGTGACAGAAATGCTACGTCCCTCACATACTGTGATGCTTGCGGCAACCACATGTGACGACCCCGGGCTGGACTCTGCTTCGTCCACGGTGAAAGCCGATCCGGCGATCCACAGCGCAAAGTTGATGTATTCCCTCAGCGACCAGCACGGATCAGCTCCAGGCATGACGAAGCAGATATCGTCCTCTTTTGGAAGGCCAAACAAAGTAGTTTCGCTTTCACAACGAAGCACACAGCGCCTTCACGACATGGCGGCGGCAGCAACAATACTACAGCGAGAATAAAAGTCACGCCTTCTTTCTTTGTGTGAACATTTGGGCGGCGTTATGCAAATCTTCCCACATAGTGATGTAGACATGTGGGGGCGTGTTAGAACGAGCCGTTTTAAGTAGGCGTGGTTAACTCTTAATTTTATAAAGAATATCTCTTTTTATATAAGAATATCTCTTATTTGAGACTTTAGTCTTTGCAACTTTACAGATCTTCTTTATGCACCAAGAGCTTGTAACACTCCAAAGAGAAAGGAAAAATTGAAATCGCATCATATGACCCCTTTAAAGTAGCTCTGAAGAAGAAAGTAGTATCATTATTCAGCTCAATTCAGTTCCATGTTGATTCAGTTCAATGCCATAACATTATCAATGTTGCAAAATTCATGATGACTTCCATTTCACTTGCAAAACAGCTTTACTGTAGACAATAGTCTCAGTATCCAGCTTAATTTAGTTCAGTGTCAGTACAGTCGAATTGATAATGTCTTCTGAATAGTAATTGTCTTTTAAGCATGTGTGAGGTTAACAGGTAATTAACTAACTGATATCCTCCGTCTTTTGCTGCACAGACCTGCGCAACTATTGCTGTCCAACGGCGGACTGATAGTCTAGTTTGGCTTCAGCTGTCACTTCCTTCCAAATGAAGGACGGCAAGGAGAACTCTAACACCACTGCTGGAAGTTTTGCCACAAGTCTGGACCATACAAAGCCATGCTGGTACTGGGACAAGAAGGACCTGGCCCACACCCCGTCCCAGTCCGATGGCATGGATCCAGCCACAGAAGCCCGGTACAGACGAGAGGGAGCCCGGTTCATATTCGACGTCGGGACACGTCTGGGACTGTATCCTTTTAATACTGCCATGTATACATATACATAGTTTCAGTTCTGTGTAGGAATGGTTTTGAAATGGTGAGAGGATTCTGATATTCTCCTTAACCAATTGTTAAGACATTATGACACTCTGGCAACTGGAATAACATACTTTCATCGTTTTTACATGTTTCATTCTTTCAAACAGTTTCCCAGATATGTGAGTACAACATGCTCTTGAAAATCTGATTTCATCCATAGCATTTTCTTTTCGTCCTACCGTATAATGCTTCATAGCCGACAGTGTTTATAGGCTAAGTGCTGCTTTGTGTACAGCGGTAACCGGGGTAAGTTTTTATTTAGTTATTCTAATAACAGAATTAGTTTTATACCACTTCAGTTGCAATTCAGTTCTCATGACCTGCTTCAGTACCCATGGCGTTATATGTCATTATAAAATATTTCACTGTTTATTGATATTCTTTCATTTATCTTTATTCGTACTATAAATTCAACATATTTCATTTACAATACTATTTAATCTACAAGACCAAACAATTGCTGGTTGGTCCAAGTTGTGATTATCCAGAGTTATTTGGAGTCGAAATTTGTAATTTTGATGGCCTTCATGGAAAATGTTTTTATTATAGTGCTGTCAAACGATTAATCGCGATTAATCGC